TCGAACTCCTGAGCTCAAACAATCCGCCCGCCTCGGCCTCCCAGAGTGCTAGGATTACAGGCGTGAGCCACCACCGCGCCCGGCCAGGTTTTGCTACCAGGTTTTGCTATCTTAACGGTAGCTTGTTTATGCCAGTAGTGAAGAAGCCTGGAGAGTGAGTGGTGATGAAATCGCCAAAGGCGTTTTCCACAGCCTGTTGAGAATTGAGTAAGTTTCCTTGCAGGAAGTGGTCCAAAGCCTGGAAGAAGTGGTAGTCAGTTGGTGCAAGGTCTGGTGAATGTGGTGGATGACAGAGAGTTTCCAAGTCCAGTCTCTGTAGTTTGAGCAGTGTTGTTTGTGTGACATGTGGTTGAGCATTGTCTTGTGAGAGGATTGGCCTGTATCTGTTGACTAATCTTGGCTGCTTACTTACATCCTCGTTTTGTCCAGTTGGTTGCAGTAGACACCCGCTGTGATCAATTGACCAGGTTTAACGAAGCTGTAGTGGATAATACCAGCGCCGGGCCACCAAACAGACACCATTAGGGTTTTCTTGATGAATATTTGGTTTTGGACTGTCTTTTGGCACTTCACCTTTATCTGACCATTGTGCTGAATGGCCTGCGATTGTCAAAAGAATCCATTTTTCGTCCCACATAACAATACAGTGTAGAAATGGTTCACCTTTATGTCATGACAGGAAAGAAAGGCAAGCTTCGAAATGATTTCTCTTCTGACACTCATTTAATTCATGCAGAACCCAGCTATCCAGCTTCTTTACCTTGCTGATTTGTTTCAAATGGCCTAATGTTGTTGGACTAGTAACATCAAACCTTGTTGCTAATTCACGCATAGGTTGAGATGGATTCGCTTCCACCACAGCTTTCAACTCCTCATCGTCCACCTTGGTCTCAGGTCAGCCACGTGGCTCACTGTCAAGATAAAATCACCAGAACAGAACTTCTCAAACCATCAATTTACTGTGCATTCAATTAGCCACATCCTTCCCAAATACTTCTTTTTTTTTCGAATTCTAATTTCTATGGATATATGTCAAATGAAGACATTTTCTTTACCCCAATAAGTCTCTATTAATTTTTCTCCCAACAGAAGTCTAAACTATAGGATAGTCCATGATAAAAATTAATTGCATCCCCTGCTTTTTGAAGTCAGGCACTGTCTGTTCATCATTCATTGTTGTAATAATCCACACAAAGCACGGCTCCCATAGTTTGCTCAATTATTTCTATAAAATTTATTTTTTAATTTATATTTAAATGAAAATGACTTCTGTATTTGCTGTAGACTTGGGAAAATAAAACCATTGAGTTATTTCTGCCAGTATGTGATTGAATGAAAAGATTGTTTTTTGAAATTAACATCCCATGTTTAACACGTTTTGTAGCACTTAAATAAAAACATTTACATAAGTTATGTTTACAGAATACATTGACCTTTCTTTTCCCAAGATGGTCGTAATACTTAATAGTTTGGTAGTTTTTATAGCTTCTGTATGAGGAGTGTGGGTAACACATGCTTTACTGGGCAGATAAAGGAAATAAAGGGCATTTAAATTAATCTGTGAAATCATTACAAGTTAGATAGAGCTGGAGGTGAAGGAGTATTATGTAGCGCTATACTACTATAGTGATTTATTTTGTAGCATGCACACATATACATCATACACACACATACACACAACCATGATGGTTATTGTCCTCATCAAAGACATCAGATAGGGATTATTACCTACTGAAGCTAAACACAGATAAACATTTTTTAAAATCATTTTGCCAAATATATTGATGCCATAGCTGCATATTTCTAAATATGCAGCTTGGAAGTGTAGCTTTTAAACTTAAGTTCTTTTAATTTAAACATTTGATTTATTTCTTCATTTTTTCTTGATAATGTAAGAACCATTTCTTTATATTAAACAGGGCCCTTTGTCATCTTAATTGCTTCAGTTTATTTTGGGAATATGAAAACTTTCTTTCTCTAATGATTCTTTTCGTTTCCCCAAGTCAGGTGCCTTAAGACCGCATTTTGTACTTTCTCTTATAACTAGTTTTTAATATAAGAAATAAGAAAAAGAAACAAAATTGTTGATTTGCATGGACTCTCCATGGAGTTTACCACCTTTTCTTTCATTGATGGAGCCTCCTGTATTTTAGAGTTATCTCCCATAATCCACATATTTTTTATGCATTTCATAATGTGTTCCCTGTATCCCAAAGCCATGTCAGCAGTTAAGTTCTGTTGGTAGCAATATGTAGTCATTGTGTGTCTAATAATAAATGAATTAGTTGCATTTATATGTGTGTATTCTTACACTGATCTGTTTTTCTTTATGTCTTCTATTTACCCAGACAGGCATGGTGCACTGTGATACAGCAGTTGGAACACCTGATTATATATCACCTGAAGTTCTGAAATCACAAGGGGGTGATGGTTACTATGGGCGAGAATGTGATTGGTGGTCAGTAGGTGTTTTCCTTTTTGAGATGCTAGTGGGTAAGTAAATATTTTAACTTGTTCTTTCTTTCAAAACCCTTCGCGTAACACTTCAGTCAAGAATTTGAGAATATAGGCCGGGTGTGGTGGCTCACGCCTGTAATCCTAGCTCTCTGGGAGGCCGAGGCGAGCGGATTGTTTGAGCTCAGGAGTTCGAAACCAGCCTGAGCAAGAGCGAGACCCCGTCTCTACTAAAAATAGAAAGAAATTAATTGGACAACTAAAAATATATAGAAAAAATTAGCCGGGCATGGTGGCGCATGCCTGTAGTCCCAGCTACTCGGGAGGCTGAGGCAGGAGGATCACTTGAGCCCAGGAGTTTGAGAATATAATGAAATTAATTGCCTATTGCCTGGGAAAGATTGGAATTTCTGGAACCTTTCAGTTAGTAGTATCTGATATGACAGATTGTTAACTGGAAAATTAATATCAAGCACAATGATTGAATACAATAAGTAGAACGTGGGGAAAAAAATTGAAAGTGTATTGCCAGGAAATATTTCTCCAGTAGACCTTTTCTAGTTTAGAGAATATTGGAACAAGAAGGTTACAACTTCAGTGGGCCTCCATTCTAGGATTCTTTTTATCATTTATATTTATTATAAATATTTTAAATATAAGACTGTTAGTACTTGTTCTAAAAGTAGTAGAGAACTAAAAATACTCTTTAGTTTCTATAATTGTTATACAACTGATTTTGAAAACTGTATTCCTTCTATTTACTACTTGTATATAAATTTTGTTTGTAATTCCAGTGGATTGAATTGTAAATATAGTTATTAACTACTTAATTGTCAAGATAAATATATTTTATAATATTCAGTTTTTAAAAGCTCAGAGGCAAATCGAATTATTTCTTTTACTTTGACCAAGTCAAAATTTGAAAGACTGAAGTACTTCAAACTTTCATTACATGGTAGATTTTATTCCTTAGCTTTCCCATTCTAAAATACTAGGTCACAAAAATATCTTCTGGCTAAGGAAGCCAATGACTGAATTACATGGAATGGCGATGAGGGGAGAAAATGTAGCTAGCTCTACTTTCCAAGGCTCGTGTAATACGGCTGATAACATTATATAGAATGGCTTTAGATTTGAAAATATATTTTTGGAGTTAAGGAATTTATTTTCTAGAAGATGACCCCAAAAGAAATTGGTAGTATAGAATCTGTGTGATTATTGCTAAAAATTCAGAAATTTTTGGTAAATTCTGAATTTAAATAATAATTACTATAGAACTTTTTTGTGGCATAAATTGCCTTCTCTTGGTGACCATCCTGTGCATTGATCTTGTTATGCTTAGTTTCATGTCATGGTATGGCCTGCTTTGTTTTGGGCCTTTGTCTTTGTAGTGAGTGTATATACCATATGGTTCCAGGTAGCTGTCTGTTGTCCCATCTCTGGCCTGATCTGATGATGCATTAGGTTGTATCTTGTGATATTTTGAAAGAAGAGTATATTCTGTTATTTGCCTAGACCCTCCTTCTAGGAATTTCAAAAATAAGGTACTTTGGAGGAAGCGATTTGGCTCATTTGAAGAGGCCATTTGAATTCCTACTGCTGTTTTTATCTTTGAGAACTGAATTTAGAGTTTGAATGGCAATGATTTGCAGTGTTCTGAGACTATAGTGTGCTTGCTCAGGTTGGTTGGCACTAGAGTGCATTTAAAGGGTTCTCAGTTAAAAGTGGCACTAAGACAATCTTGAATTCAAAGCTTTCCTCCCCCTTGCTTTGAAAACAAACAAAAAATAACTACCTGAATACCCCTTTTGAAGTTTTGGATTTGCTGATTTGGGAAAGTCTGGTTTTCGTTAAAGTTACTTTATAGTACAGGCATACTGGCAGGACCTTTAACCCTTGTGGCTTTAGATGAGTACTGGCCAAAATGGTTCCTTTGGCTTTTTCTATGTTTACACTTTCTTGAGTGCCTGTTTATCACAGTCATTAACCTGCTGGAGCGCTGCATCGCTGCATCGGGAGACCATTTCTGCCCTTTTCAATTCTAGATGTTTATCATCTTAAGTCACGTGTTACCTCTCTGGGCCCAGCTTCCTCCTATGTAAGATAATAAAGCTGGTCCAACTCTTAGAGCAGCACTGTCCAGTCTGTCATGATGGAAATGATTTATATCTGTGCTGTTCAGTGTGATAGCCACTGGCCACATCAATCACTTAAAATGTGATAATATAACTAAGGAACTGCATTTTTTCATTTAATTTAATTTCACTTTAACTTTAAATTGCCACATGCGGCTAATGGCAACTGCATTGTATAACGCAGCTCTAAAGAGTAATTTCAAAATGCTGATCTGGCTCAAGTATTAAAGAACTCTGACTGATCTGACCCTACTTATTAAATCTTTCTCTTGAACTATTCAGTAAATTATTTCATATTTGAATATTAGATGAAAAGTGTTTAATTTGCATTCTCTATATCAGTATCTTCTTTCTTGAACTTTTAGGGGATACTCCCTTTTATGCAGATTCACTTGTAGGAACATATAGCAAAATTATGGATCATAAAAACTCACTGTGTTTCCCTGAAGATGCAGAAATTTCTAAACATGCGAAGAATCTCATCTGTGCCTTCTTAACAGATAGGTAATGTACATTGAATTTCTTTGTAGAGAAGCCTTTTTACGTGTAAATTTGTAGAAATAAAAGCATACCTAACTTATTTACATATGAAATGATTCTCTTTCTTTCATTATGGAAGTTGCATTTAATTTTGGATTAGCCTTTTCCTATTGCTAAGCCTGGTGTTGGGTTGCCCTCCTCCTGTTTTGTTTACAGCCCAATTATAAATCTAACTCTAACCTTAACTCTCATGTCTAAAAAGAAAAAATAGAACTTGGTAGAATAGTGCATTTGAAAGAAATAAAACTTTTGTATTATTGACATTTTACCCTCTCAGATGGTAAATCCATATAACTCTTGATGGTACAGCTTTCGAGAGGAGAGCATTTTGTGTAGATAAGCATACAGCAGGTTACAATCTTTAAAACTATGTTTGATTTGGGAGTAACTCCTTCCCAACCCTTTTTTATTTGTATTTGAATATGAGCAAATCTGTCCTGGAAATTCTATATTTTTATAAATGAAATAGATAAAGGTGTAATAACTTGTATCAAAAAGTAAAGCTAAAAAGCTATTTAATTTTTCTTCCTTGGTGTTTCTATTCAATTTTTTCTCTGATATCCCATTTTATATTTTCGATAAGAGTCATCTCGTCAAAGGATCAACACATGCAAGAGGGTGCTTGTGCCCCAGTCCAAACTTTTACCCATCAGCTTTGTGACCCTGGGAAATTATTTTACTTTTGGGGGAAATAATTTTACTCATCCCTAAACAATCGGCTCAAAATAGATAACTAAGAACATTTCTAGCTCTAACATGCTGTGATTCCTTAGCACACCTTCTTGTTTGTTAAGCTAGTTGCTGTTACAAGCAGTGCTGCGGTAACTCTCCTCATACATTCATCTTTGTATACTTTTTACAGGATAAAATCTTAAAGGTAGAATTATGGGATACATATTTTAAAATCAAGTGATACTATAAAATTGACTCCCAGAGGAGTTACATCAGTATATATTGCCATTGACAATAATTGTGTTCCCCTCATCAAACTGCATATTATAAACATTCTTTCTTTTTTTCATTAGAGGGAAGAAAAGTTCTTTTTTTTTCCATCAGAGAGGATGTGTTTATCAATCATTTGTAGAATAAAACTTTAAGACTCATTAATTATGCCGGGTGCATTGATGCACACCTGTAAACTCCAGCACTTTGGGAGGCTGAGATGAGAGGATTGCTTGAGGACACGAGTTTGAGACCAGCCTGAGCAATATAGTGGGACCGCCTCGCTACAAAAAAAAAAAAAAAAATGCTGGGCATGGTGGTGTGTACCTGTAGTCCCAGCCACTTGGGAGGCTGAGGCAGGAGGATTGCTTGAGCCCAGGAATTTGAGGTCGCAGTGAGCTATGATAACACTGCACTAATACACTCTAGCCTGGGCAACAGAGTGAGACCCTGTCTCAAAACAAACAGCAAACAAACTTATTAATTACATGGTTGACGAGCAATCAATGCTGCTAAACTCAAAGTAAAATGGAAGTGATGATTTCTGTATTAGGATTTGGAGATCAAGAGATGTTATCTTGGCCGGGCGCGGTGGCTCACGCCTGTAATCCTAGCACTCTGGGAAGCCGAGGTGGGTGGATCACTCAAGGTCAGGAGTTCGAAACCAGCCTGAACAAGAGCGAGGTCCCGTCTCTACTAAAAAAATAGAAAGAAATGATCTGGACAACTAAATATATATGTATATATAGAAAAAAATTAGCCAGGCATGGTGGTGCATGCCTGTAGTCTCAGCTACTTGGGAGGCTGAGGCAGGAGGATCGCTTGAGCCCAGGAGTTTGAGGTTGCTGTGAGCTAGGCTGACGCCACGGCACTCTAGCCTGGGCAACAGAGCCAGACCCTGTCTCAGGAAAAAAAAGAAAAAAGAAAAAAAGATGTTATCTTTGAAAAGGAAAAGAGATGTCTCTTTCTAGAGTAGAAAAAGTAGCATAGCCTGTACAATGTTTGATATGGGTACTAAATGGGATCGGTGGGGATGATCATAATTTGTACTGAATGATAAATTATAAAACAGAATACAACCATATGTTAATGAAAGGAGTACTATTTATGAAAGGTTTGTTATAGCAATTTTTAAAGTCTGCAGGTTTTCCTGTTTATACTGAACATAGTTCCAGAGGCTCTCTATGTTCAACATAAAACAGATGCTCTCTTTTCCCATGTCATCTACACTGAAGACTCAGAGGGTCAGAGAATGAAATCCTTAGCAACATTTTTCTTGTATTCAGAAATTATAACTTTAATATAAATGTTATATTTGTATGTTATATAAATTGGATAGAGTTTAGCAGACTAAACATATGATTAGCTCCAAACATAATATATGAACTTTTTTTTTTTAGAGACAGGGTCTTACTGTGTTGCCCAGGCTATAGTACAATGGCATTGTTGCAGCTCACTGCAACCTCAAACTTCTGGACTCAAGCATTCCTCTTGCCTCAGCCTTCCAAGTAGCTGGGACTATAGGCTCACATCACCATGCCTGGCTAAGTTTTGTATTTTTTGTAGAGATGGGGTGTGGCCACATTGTCTAGGCTGGTCTTGAACTCCTGGCTTCAAGCAATCCTCCCACCGTAGCCTCCCAAAGTGCTAGGATTACAGGCATGAGCCACCATACCCAGCCTACAATGAGTTCTTTATAGAAGGGGAGAGATTTTTAAAATAATATTTATATCAGGGAGGTTTTGAGTAACTCTTCTATGACAAAAGTTTAGACCTATATCTCTTTACATCCTGAAGTTAGTGGGTCATGTGGTTTTGGCGCATACAAGTGAGTTTTTTTACTTGAAAGTCCCCTTTGTACTTTCATTTGATGCAAAATACAGGTGGAAACATATTTCATTTTTCCATGACATTTATTTCATCACAGTCTGTCTAGAGAGATCATACTATAAATTTGGGATTGTTTATTTTTGAGAAACATTTAAGCTGAAGCTTTTTATAAAAATATCTCATTGATTTGTGATCTTCATTTTGATTAAACTGTTAAGAGTTAACATTTTTATTTTTTATAATTTTTATAATACAGTCTCTAACTGCATTGTTTAGGGAGGTACGACTTGGGAGAAATGGGGTAGAAGAAATCAAGCAGCATCCTTTCTTTAAGAATGATCAATGGAATTGGGATAATATAAGAGAGAGTAAGTTAATAAATCTAAATATTTCCATTTCATCACATTTTATATCTCATAAATTGGTTCCTTTTTTGAAATAACAAGCATGTTTGATGTACTTACTGCTCACTCATTTTTAAATTGAGAGATTTCATTTCAAATTTGTTCTGTGGCAATATTTATAACTAAATATTTCCTCAGTATCTTAGTAAATTAGTGTATATTTATTAGCAATATTACTTAATACTTTTATAATAAACATTATATGTTTCTTAATTTGCCAAGTTAAGTTTTGTATATGTCAGTAATTTTCAGAATGGAGGGAATGTAATACTTTAAATTGAATGTGTTTGAATTGATAAATCAGCAATTAATTATTTATGGAGACCATACTCTAGTAAATATTAATACTAGGATAAGCATAGTAATTCATTTTTAGTGTATGTATATGTGACATTGATATATTTTAAGGGTAAGGAATATTTTTCTTTAAAAAATGGGGAAAACTGAGGACTCTAAAGAATATGTACAAGTTATTTTTGTTTGTAATTTTTAATACCTAGAATAATATCATACTGCTTTCCTTGTTTAATTGATTAATCTATATTTAAAATTGATCTAATATGACAATAAATTACTTACAAAATTTTAATTCTGTGAAATCATAAAATGGAAGATATGTTGCTAAAATATTATATAATAAATCATAATGATATAATATATTAATCTATTATAATTAAAATAGGCAGATGGCTTATATCTTACATGTTAGTTATGAATGAAATAATTCATTTCTTTTCTTTAATAGCGGCAGCTCCTGTAGTACCTGAACTCAGCAGTGACATAGACAGCAGCAATTTTGATGACATTGAAGATGATAAAGGAGATGTAGAAACCTTCCCAATTCCTAAAGCTTTTGTGGGAAATCAGCTGCCTTTTATAGGATTTACCTACTACAGAGAAAATTTGTATGTGATTTATTTATTAAATTTCATTGTTTTCAGAGTCTAGCTATAAGATGTATCTTATTTTGAGACTCAGTTATAAAAGATAAAGTATTGTTTTTTCAAAAGGACTATTAGAAGAATTATTTTTAATTTTCATTATTTTATTTCTGAATATTATATGATATTCATTTACACCTGATAGCAAGACACTGTTCTATATTCTTTTGGGGATATAGAGTAAGAACAAATACTTGCTTCTCAAGGAGCTTGTCATTTCATGAAGGATATAAGAGAATTATGTAGTCATAACAAAGGGTAAAATATGACAGTTGCCTTAAGAAAGATACCAAGAGAATCTGAGATGGTTTGGAAGAAAAATGAAAAGTTACGTCTCTTCTGGGTGGGAGCAGGGAGAAGTCAGGTAAGACCTCAGGGAAGAGGTGGCATTTTAGCCGAGCCTAATGATCAGAAAGGGTTTTGAGTGGCTGAAACTGAGGAGGTGAATAGTGGAAGCAACAGTTTGGAATGTAAGCATACATACATTGGGAGCAGACTACACAATAGTTTTAGTCCAGTAGGGCTCAAACATAGGGAATGTGTTACTGTATTGTGACTGTTTGGAGGACTTGATGAGACTGTGTGATTTTCTTGCTTAAAATCTCTGCATCTAGCACCAAGCCTGGAAAAGTCATTCAATAAAAATTGACTAAAGTGAGTATTGAACATAAGATTAGAAAATATATTGGAGTTGGATTTAGGGGAAGAATAATGCAGCAGATGATTGTTGTGTGCTCTGCTAAAGGGACATTTGACTGACAGGCAATGAGGGACCACTGAAAACTGTTAAATATAGTAGTTGAGTGAGACATTAAAGACATTTGAGAAACATATTTGACAAACTTTTGATACATCCATATATGTAATGATCAGAGTGACCGACCATTATAATTTCCCCAGGACTGAGGGTTTTCCCAAGATGTGACTTGGGACTTTCATATTAAAACCAGGAAAATCCCAGGCAGGGTGGGTTGGTCACCCTACTAATGATAAGGTTCTTAAAACTTCTGTAATACTGACCAAAATGAGGATATCAGTTCCAGAAGAAACCAGAGCCTGTTTCTAGGCAGTGGGGAAGGACCCAATTGAAAGGGAAAAATTGATAGTAAAATAGAAACGATGATTTATATATTAAGACTGGGAGATGAAGAGTTGTTATCTTTCAAAAGGGGGATCAAAATCTTTTTCTAGAAGATGGAGTAGAAGCAGGACAAAATAGCTATAGAAACTCAGATGAAGAGGAGGGACATACAGTTCCATTTAGTGAGTCTAGTTCCAACAAAATTAAAGACTAGGTCATTCAATAAGAGGGAAAGGCAAGAAAAGTTTAGCATTTTAAATTACTGTAAGTGGTATGAATGTCTGGAGGAGAAAATACTGCGTCATTTAAAATAATATGTTGAAAGAGAAATCTTTGTGGTTAATATTTAATTCTGAGAATAACTTGGTTGAATAAGACAGAAAATGGATTAAAATGAAATGCAAAAGAATTTATTTTCTGCCCTTCTCTAGGTTATTAAGTGACTCTCCATCTTGTAGAGAAAATGATTCAGTACAATCAAGGAAAAATGAAGTATGTATAGATTTTTACTACTCTATTTTAGTCACATGTTCAGATATTTTAGTAATACCTATGCTTTTAAAAAGTTAATTTGATGCTACTTTTTAAATCATGAGATGGCATTACTTGTGTAATACCATTTAGCATAACACTGAAATGATTCATTTATGTGAACAATATCATTATTCAAGACATGATGGCTAGTAAAATGAATTATACATGGCTTTAGGCTTAGTTTAGTGGCAAAAATGATATAATAGGTTTATAGGCTGGGCGCGGTGGCTCACGCCTGTAATCCTAGCCCTCTGGGAGGCCGAGGCGGGGGGGCAGGGGGCGGGGAACGCTCAAGGTCAGGAGTTCGAGACCAGCCTGATCAAGAGCAAGACCTCATCTCTACTAAAAATAGAAAGAAATTATCTGGACAACTGAAAATATATATAGAAAAAATTAGCCAGGCATGGTAGCACATTCCTGTAGTCCCAACTATTCCGGAGGCTGAGCCAGAAGGTTTGCTTGAGCCCAGGAGTTTGAGGTTGCTGTGAGCTAGGCTGACGCCATGGCACTCTAGCCTGGGCAAGAGCCAGACTCTGTCTTAAAAAAAAAAAAAAAAAAAAGGTTTATAAACAGCTATAATACCAGTTAGAAAATTTTATGATCTTAGTGCTGTGAAAAAGTACAGATAATAAGCTATAGGAAAAAGAAGTAGGGAAGAAATTCAAATTCTGAGTATTTAGGAATGAATTTATATAAAGGATAATTTTATCAAACCGTTATAATATTTTGTGACCTCTATCATTTTTAACTGTATACAAAGCTAAATCATACACGCACATATATATACACATGAATGATGATGCTAAACATATTTTCTTCTTGGCCGGGCGCGGTGACTCACGCCTGTAATCCTAGCACTCTGGGAGGCCGAGGCGGGCGGATTGTTTGAGCTCAGGAGTTCGAAACCAGCCTGAGCAAGAGCAAGACCCCGTCTCTACTAAAAATAGAAAGAAATTAATCGGACAACTAAAAATATATAGAAAAAAATTAGCCGGGCATGGTGGCGCATGCCTGTAGTCCCAGCTACTCGGGAGGCTGAGGCAGAAGGATTGCTTGAGCCCAGGAGTTTGAGGTTGCTGTGAGCTAGGCTGACACCACGGCACTCAACTCCAGCCTGGGCAAAAGAGCGAGACTCTGTCGCAAAAAAAAAAAACAAAAAAAAACACTTAAACATATTTTCTTCAGACTTATGAAAACTAAAAAAGTAGGTTGGATAATTTTGGTACGGTTTGTGAATTTTGCAAGACATAACAAGCATTTTAATGTTTTCTGTGTTTTTTGTTTTGTTTCAAATAGGAAAGTCAAGAGGTATGTTGATACTGTCAGATATATTGAAAAACTGAGAAAAACTCATTATTCTAGCAGCGTTTTAATATAGGCGTATCCCACCCAGCATTTGGAGTACTACATCTACCCAAAAGAGACGTTCCCAACCTTTTTTCTACCAAGTATCCCTTTTATTATTGCTTCTATGGATCTATTGTTTAAAATATATATTTTGTAATTTTCTTGTTTTTATTTATTAAGGATATATAACTGGTAGTAGGAACATATTAACATGTGATAACCAGTGTGCTCAAATTATACTAATGTAGTAGCAGCCAATAGCAGTTAAACTTGACTAGTTCACTAGCCTGCATATTCTTATTATGGGAAGATAGAGTTTTTGGAGTCTCTAGACCTGCATTGGCGTTTCGGCACTGCCACTTATTAGCAATGCTGTCTTGGCTGGTTATTCACCTTTTTTGAATTTCAGTTTATCAAGTAGATACAATGCTACCATCATTTTATGGTTTTTGTGAGGATTGATGAGACAATGTTTATAAAGTACCTGACACTGTATCTAAGGCAACACAGGAACTCAACAAGTTAAATTCTCTAAAAAGGAAATAATGTTCCAAAAATGGATTATTTAATAGTTTCTGTAATTTAAGTTTGTTTAAAGATTGACATAGCTTTAAGAACAGTAATATATTTTTGAGCATATTCATTTTAATGTTCTGAATATTCATTTCAGATGTAAACCTTTTATCTTTACCTTATTAGCACAAATGATAAAAATATTTTCAAAGAAATAATTTATAGAAGAGCAGTGGAAGATACCAGAAATGGTACCCTTTATTTCTAATGAATTTAAAACTTGCTATCATAGAAGAATTCTGCCAAAGTTAGAGCTTCTCATGCATGTTTACATAAGTGTGTTCATACATGTATACAGTGATAGAGAAAAAGCAAGATATGGGGAAATTTTTCTGTCAATAAAAGTCACATTAAGGTACAAATATTGTACCATTATAGAGGACATTATGTTGAGTGGAAAGACAAAATAAGCTTATCATTGTTTTCTTAAGCCTCTCATCTTCACATATGGCCAAAATTTATAATTATAGTTTTTCATGTTTTGACAGATTCAGAAAAAACTGTATACATTAGAAGAACACCTTAGCAATGAGATACAAGCCAAAGAGGAACTAGAGCAGAAATGCAAGTATGTTTTGGAAATTATTAATATTATATTATAAAATTTAAGCTTAAACATTTTACTGCAAAAGGAGAGCTACAAAGTAATTATGTAATTATTTTTAAATTTATAGACTTTTTAAATTGTAAATTAGGAGAGTTATTTTATTTACTGGTTCTTTTTGAAATTCTTTATTTAGATCTGTTAATACTCGCCTAGAGAAAACAGCAAAGGAGCTAGAAGAAGAGGTACAGTTGCCCTACACTTTTAACATTTTTGTTAGTAAAAATCTTTGATGTCTGATTTACCTGTAGAGTTCTTTTTAGTATCATGATAATACGTACCCATATCTTGATGGACAGTGAAACCTACCTTATAGCATTGGTGAGCAGGACTAAAATTATGGGGTAACTGTGTTATAATAGACTTCATTTTGTTAATGTTTTTGCAAACTTGAGTTAATTTAGCATGTATAGATATTTCAACTAAAAAAATTGCATTTATAGTAGTTAATGATATGGTTTAAAAATAGAGAGTGACCATTGTTTTATTTTTTTAATTGCTATTCATAACATTTTAGACACATACTGAACATAAGTTCAGTAGTGATAGAAAGTTAGCTTTTTTTTTTTTTTAGGTCTTTTTAATCTATTGGAATATTTTATCTGTTGGAAGTATTTTTGTTTGATTTGATTTTTATACATAATTTTTGATAATAACTGTAAGCATTTTTTCAGATTACCTTGAGGAAAAATGTGGAATCAGCCTTACGACAGTTAGAAAGAGAAAAGGCGCTTCTCCAGCACAAAAATGCAGAATATCAACGGAAAGCTGATCATGAAGCAGACAAGAAACGAAATTTGGAAAATGATGGTTTGTGGTGTAGAATATTAAATGCTTTTCAAGAAAAAAATTAAACGTTTATATGTTGTGTTGAAGCTTACACTAATGCTTTTTATCATAGTTAACAGCTTAAAAGATCAACTTGAAGATTTGAAAAAAAGAAATCAAAACTCTCAAATATCCACTGAGAAAGTGAATCAACTCCAGAGACAAGTATGTTGATCTCAATTTGCAATAAGGATACTGAGTTTATTTATGATTGTCTTTTAACATTAGTTTTAATTGGCAATGTTGCAAAAGGCCTCTAATTTTAGAAGGAAGTCCTTGGGAGAATATTTTTAAGCTTTTATTTATTTTAAATAGTTTTTAATGGGTAATAAGTTGATGTATTTTCATTATGTACACCTCTGTTGTTTCTTTAATTTTAATTGGAATAACAGCTGGATGAAACCAGTGCTTTGCTGCGTACAGAATCTGATACCGCAGCCCGGTTAAGAAAAACCCAAGCAGAAAGTTCAAAACAGATTCAGCAGCTGGAATCTAATAATAGAGATCTTCAAGATAAAAACTGCCTGCTGGAGACTGCCAAGTTAAAACTTGAAAAGGAATTTATTAATCTTCAGTCAGCTCTGGAATCTGAAAGAAGAGACCGGACCCATGGATCAGAGATAATTAATGATTTACAAGGTATTAAAGTGATGATTGCACTTGAATTAATCTTCATTTGTATTTTGGAAATAGCTTTAGATGATAGATAATATGCTGGAGTAGCATGTTTCTGTATATACTACTCTTGTTATGTAAAGTTAGAATATTAGAAGTATGTTGATACAAAATTTTATGAACAAAATATTTACTTTCAAATAGTATGATTTTAAGTATCAGACTCCTCAGGTGGTAGATTGGGTTCCACTTAAATTAACTGTAGAGCACAATACCAACAAGTGTAAAACTCCTGCTCACAAATAACAGCTCCAAAATAATGACGTGGCTTCCATATTTTTTACTCTTACAGAATGTATATACTTTGTGGGTTTATTGTTTAAAATAATGTTGCAATTTTTAGGTAGACTATCTGGCCTAGAAGAAGATTTAAAGAATGGCAAAATCTTACTAGCAAAAGTAGAGCTGGAGAAGAGACAGCTACAGGAGAGATTTACTGATTTGGAAAAGGTAAAAAATTAGCTTTATATTTTTGTAAGAAAATGACAGTACAGTGTCAGATTAGAAAAGTTATTCTAAAATAAGGGAAATCACTAACTGGAATATTTCCATGTACTCCTGGACTCTTTCATATTGAGACTTGCTTGTGTAGACAAGGGCTGTGTGTTTTAAGGCTTCCCATAGCACTGTACAGCAGCCCTCAGTATGCTGGGTGCTCGTGGAGGAAGGGACTCTCCTGGAGTGTGTATAACAAGGATCTTCTCTCTAGGGATCCAAGTAAAAATTAAATTTTGACTTGTAACATATCTTAAAAATGATGTAATATAAAGTCATCATGACTTTTGGCATTTAATTTTTCTTTAAAAATACTATAAGCTGGGGTGATTTCTAGGGTCTGTGCAGTTAGCATTTTATTTTCATCCACTTATTTCTTCATTTCTTTAAATGTTTAGTGTATCATATGTGGTAGAAATACCAGGATATAGACCTTGACTTGAATAATGTCACCTTTAAAAAGTAATTTTTAAAGTAATAATAAAGCACACAGATAAACCTAATGCAGTAGTGTCAATAGAGTGATAGAAGTATAGACAGGGTGTATATGTTGAGTATATAGGATGAATCCAGGGCAGGATAGCTTGGCAAAGTAAAGGCACATTCTGAGTTGAGAAGGAAGACAGCATGAACAAAGGCATAGAGGACAGAAAATTAAAAAGGCATTGTTTGCTTGTTAAAGTGAAAACTACTCAATATTTCTGGAATGTAGAATAGGGGTCAGCAAACTTTGCTCTTTTTAGGGCAAGATAGTAAATATTTTGGCTTTTGTGGGTCATACATGTAGTCTCTGTTGGAGTACTCAGCTCTGCTGTGATTCATAAAGGCATGGGTATGGCTGTGTTCCCATGCAACTTAAAAAAAAAATAGACATTGGATTGAAATTGGCCAGAAGATGTGGTCCTCATGTAAGAATATGGAGAAATCAGTGGCCAGAGTGAGGCTGTAGGGCTAGGCTTGAACTAGATCATGCAAGATTTTGAATACTCTATTAAGAAATTTAGAATATAGTCTCTAAGTAATGGGCCAGCCTTTAAATTGGATGTTCTTATTATAGGTACATTTAAGATCGATCACTGTGTGTTATTTGAGAAGGACAAGGCTAGAGGCAGGGAGACTAGTCAGAAGACTTTTTCAGTAACGGAGACTTAATTAGTGCAGTAGCTAAAAGAATAGAATGTAGGGATGACTTTGAGAAATATTTTGGAGAGGAATATTTGGCAGCATTTAGTTGATTAGATGTGGCATGCGAGTAGTGATCAAGATGAGTCCCAGGTTTGTAGGTTGTGACTGGATATATAGTGATGCCATCAATTAATAAAGAATAAAGAAAAATGGCTCATTTAGAGGAGACAGTGATAAATCCACTTTAGTCCTCTTAAGTTTCAGGTGCCTGTGGGACAGCCAGATTAGAATGTCTATAAGGCAGTCAGCTATGGTAGTGGGAGCTAGAAATATTTGAGAGTTATCGGTATGTAAGTAGCTGAAAGCATCTGAGTGCAGTAACTCATATGGGAAGAGATTATGTAGAGTAGTGATTTCTCATTGTTTTTTTTTTTTTTTTTTTTTACAGCAGAGTAGATTACTGTGTTGATGGATTGTATGGTTTCAAAAATTATTTTCAGTATTAAAGATTTTATTTGAAAAAAATACCTGTATTTATGATATGAACTATAGAAATCAAAGAACTAGAAAATCTGTGGTATATGTCTAGAAAATAGGAAGAGGGGATAAAGAATACCACCTCCAAAGAACACCAGCATTTAAGTGGGGAAACTTCAGAAGTAACAGGAGAGATGCAGGCAGGATGGAGAGAACCAAGTGAGTACAATGTGAGGAGTGTCAAGGGATGGTTCCAAGGGCAGCAGTTAGTTCAAATAAGATAAAGACTGAATAGTATCTTTAGAATTTGATATTGAAAATAGCACTGGTCAATTTATTGAGCTTAAGCCATCTGAATACAGATCTCAAAACAGTGGGGTGGAGGCATGGAAGATGGGTACAGTGGGAAGTGAGGAAGTACAGTACGTAGATTACTATTAAAAGAAGTTTGGATGAAGAGGGGAGGGGAAATATTGAACATTCTTAATAAATCTGTTAACAGTTTTGAAAGTGTTTGAAATTGTGAGTCAGTCTTTTTTGTTGATCACTGCCATCTTAAATTTCTAATAGGAAAAGAGCAACATGGAAATAGATATGACATACCAACTAAAAGTTATACAGCAGGGCTTAGAACAAGAGGAAGCTGAACACAAAGCCACAAAGGCACGGCTAGCAGATAAAAATAAGATCTATGAATCCATTGAAGAAGCTAAATCAGAAGCCATGAAAGGTATGCATTTCTAAAAGAGGGTTTTCCAGTAGCATTTTCCTAAGAAGTGATTCTGTCTTCAACTCTTTGGTTTTGAAAAATATTTGTTTTATTGCCAAATATTAGGAACTGGAGGGGAAAAAACTATTAGGGAAGCTTTACATAGTTTTTTTTTTTTTCTTTGCATCATTACAACAATTATTTCTAAGATACGCTCAAACATAAAATTATTTGACCAATTTTTAGATCAGAAAGAAATTAATATTTCAGTGGTATCAGTATTAACAGGTATACAGACTGTGAAGTTCTAGATATACATACTCAGATTTGGGGAATATATTCTTTTTTGTAATATTTATTATGGTTTGACATTTTACCAGATTGTATTACAAAATTCTTGCCAGTTTATGTAAGATAAAGATTTAAAAATAATAGGTAGCCTAACAAAAAGGTCACTAAATATTTTGATCTCTGGCATGATGAAGTTACTAGCCAGATTGGTAAAAGTTGGATAATACTAATAGAACAGTTAACTTTTCCACAAACCAGACTTTATCCTGGAATTGTCTCAGGATAATTTCTTGTTTTCCAAACTATTTATAATTATGATGGATTTGAAATTCCAAAGGAAATCAGTACTTTAAGTATTCTTGTGCAAGTCTTAAAACTCTTGAACAGAAATTTCATTTCATATTGAAGCTTAACCTTTATGAATAAGTAACTTAGCACATAAATTGCCTTTAATTATTGCATATAATTAAAATTATAGATTTTCATATTAAAATCAGGTTAGTTTAAGGCACTAATTCAGGATGATAAGAAATGAAATGAGTGTTTTATTTAGAAAAATCTAACTGGGAGGGAAGAAGTTAGTGGGCCACATTTCCTTATCTGTGGCCTAGAAGACAAGAGTTGAATTATCTTCAATGAGGTATAATTTATATGCAATAAAATGTAAACATTTTTGACATTTGTGATACACTCACATAACTGCCACCCAAAACAAGGGTTAGAATATTTCCATCACCTCAGTAAATTACTTTGCGCCTCTTTCTATTCTCAGTGCCTACATTATGGTGATTATTTTTTAAAATCAGTACATTCATTCATTGGTTATTCTCTGAACTGATGAAAATGAACCAGTTCAGTATAATATAACTACCATTTTTTCATACTATTACTTACAACACTAATATAAGAATGCCAGATGACTTCCATATTTTGCACATGAGTACACAAAACTGTTCAATATTACAGATGGTATTCAAATCTGAGCCTAAACCTTTTGGTCTTTCTGCTGCATGTCATTGCTTCCTTGGATTAAAAATACAGCTTACCAAATAATTACTAGCCATGTGACCTCGTCTAGTTACTTAAACTTTCTATGCCTGGTTCCTGTAAAGGAACAATTATTGTTAAAGTGATATGAAAATCAAGTGTAATGACACATGTACAGTGCTTAGAAATGCTAGCTAGTAGTAGTAGTAGTAGTAGTAGTAGTAGTAGTAGTACATGAAGAATGTTTCTTTTTTCTATCCTTTTGAAGACCATTAAAAACTAAAAATTTTTAATAAATGATAATTAGATGTTGAGCATTAGGTATGGAAGAGCAGAAAAACTCTAGTTGGATTTGAACTGAAGTACTAGTCAATATATCAAAAGATAACCCTTTAACTGTAATAACTTACATTCAATATTGAAATCACTTGGTTAGACAAACTTTTTCTGCTCTTCGAGACGGAAAAAGCTTTTAAAAGCCTTTTCCGATTAATAAAACAGATTAAAAGTTTATTGCAAATCATTTGGAAAATATAGGAAAGTTAAAAGAAAAAAGCAGAGATTATCCATAATCCTACTAATTAGGGTAATATTTTGTATGTTTTCTCCATTTTCTATACTGTTTTTTTTTTATTCTTTTAAAATCATTGTGAGCATTTTCTTAGGTTATTAAAAATTCTTATTAAATAATGAGAACTTTACCAAGTGCTTGCCGTATGCCAGGCAGCTTTTAAGTGCTACACATGTATTAACTCAAAATCTTCATAACATCCCTGGGAGGGTAGGTGCTATTGTCCTTATTCTAGAGGTAAGGAAACTGAGGCCCAGAGAGGTTAATCACCTTGCCTGGTCAAATAATTAGTGTCAGAGCCAGGGTTTAAGCTCAAGAAGTTTGGTTCTAGAATCTTGCCCTTCACTATCTCCCTAAAAGGTAATTTTCAATATCTGCATAATAATATGTTGTAGGGAAAGAGCCATGGAGGTCATAGAATCTACCTGTATTCTTTTAAGGTAAAAGTAGTAATTATTAAACTGAGAGACATTGAATTGTGAGAAAATTTTTTAAAAAATCTTTATTTAAAGGTGTGAGCATCTAATCTGCATAATAATATGTTGTAGGGAAAGAGCCATGGAGGTCATAGAATCTACCTGTATTCTTTTAAGGTAAAAGTAGTAATTATTAAACTGAGAGACATTGAATTGTGAGAAAATTTTTTAAAAAATCTTTATTTAAAGGTGTGATGTTGTAGGGAAAGAGCCATGGAGGTCATAGAATCTACCTGTATTCTTTTAAGGTAAAAGTAGTAATTATTAAACTGAGAGACATTGAATTGTGGGAAAATTTTTTTAAAAATCTTTATTTAAAGGTGTGAGCATCTAATCTATTATAGAACACAAAAGCAGGATTATCTTGCATCCATTGGAATAAATGTAATATTGCAGAGTGTGATACATTTTTGTACTGCAAATAGAGCTCCTAATTTGCAAGCGTGAAATTCTTGACATTTCAAATATGTTGAGAGGAGTGATGAAAATGTTAATTGAAAATTAATAAAAATATAAGGCAGCATCATTTATTGTAATTTTTATTAGCACTGTGTCTTATATTTAGTATGCTTCTTTTATTTGTAAATTTATGTTTATGTCCATTTTTATTGTAATAGAAATGGAGAAGAAGCTATTGGAGGAAAGGACTTTAAAACAGAAAGTGGAGAATCTATTACTGGAAGCTGAAAAAAGATGCTCCATATTAGACTGTGACCTCAAACAGTCACAACAGAAAATAAATGAGCTCCTTAAACAGAAAGATGTGCTAAATGAGGATG